AGGTAAATAAAAGTCGTCCAAGGCAGTATAAATGGTAAATAACCGACTGAGCCAATAACGGCTTTCAAATTTAAAAGACGGAAAAAATAGGGGCCAAAACGGTGAGAAAATCTTCCCTAAAATTTCAGAGTAAGTGACCCTGACTTCGAGCTAAGGAGACAGGACGAAGATGGGCGGTGAAGAGCATGGGGGAGGGCACGTCGCAAAGCGAGGTCTGGGGACCCCAAGAGGGGGGTCCCTGCTTTTACGATAACACGAAACCATGATTCACCTTTATAATCATCATCAGGTCAATTTTTCGCAGGCTACAAGGCACAGGGTATCAAAACAGACTGAACGTGGGGGCAGACTCAGGGAGCCAGCGAGCTTCTACTAATCCAGACATTAATTTGCAAAAACATGGTGCAATGCCATTTTTCTCAGTGCATTTCTGTGAATAGTTATTTCTGGTAAAAAATCCTACTTACGTTAACATGCATTGCGTGTGTTACTATAAGATGAATTAAGGAATGTTTAAAAAATTTGTTTTAATTTCTAGCAGGAAAATTATCAGCTAAAGCCGACCTAAATAAAAGCTCTTTGGGACCCTGATTTTTAAGAGCATGAAGGGGTGCTGAGGCTCCTTTGGGCTGAACCCTGCTAGGGGAGAAGTATGTATTAGGCATGATTTGCAAGTGGATGTACATACTTCGTGGAAGAGTCTAAAGCAGGGGTCTTACCGGGGGCCGTTTTGCCCTGTAGGAGACATCTGGCAATGTCTGGAGACCCTGCTGGCTGTCAGAACCGGAGAGGTGTGCAGCCACTGCTGTCTAGTGGGGAGGGCTGGGTGCCGGCAAGCATCCCCCAGCACACAGGGCAGCACTGCGGGGAAGCACCTGGTCTACCCATCAATGGCACGGAAGGTGGGGCACCTGCTCAGGGCAGTGGGTCTCACCTGGGAGGAGGCACTGGGGAGCTGCCAAGCACAGGGTCACATGCAGGAGCAGTGAGCCCTGGGGAGAGACAGGAAGCTCACAGAACCTGCTCCTAACTCATGCCCTCCCACCCAAAGCTGACTAGCCCCTCTGCAGAGCCCCCATCCTTCTGGAACGCCAGGGTTCTAAGCAAAGATGATGCATAGTGGCTGGGGAAGTGGGCCAAGACATGGTGATCAAAAGCAGGGAATTCCACTTCTGTGTAACAGTCCTCTGGGTCCTCTCTGAGTGTCGCTGGGGTCCCGTTTAGGGTTGAGTGGGGGGAAAAAAGTGGGGAGAGAATGATGAGCAGTGTGGCAGAGGCGGCCCCTAGTGACAGCATGAGCTCAGAATTCAGCCTGCAGACAGTGGCTTTGGTGTTTTGGGGGGAGGGGAGTCAGGGACTCTCCCCTTAGGAGGTGATAGTCACAGCCGTCTCCCTAGGAAACACACTTGCCAACAGACCACTTCCACTGTCCTCCAACACTCAGGTTAAAATTCCTGCTACACAGCCGAGTGACTAGAAAGTCAGATTTTCTTAAGATACTTTCCACCAAAATGTTTTTTCTGTTACCAGGTAATGGGGGTTATTATAAGATGAAATCATGTTTTTGAAATTTCTGGTTTACTTTCTCAAACAGGACTCCGCCAGCCATACCTGTGGGACCTCAGCAAGCCCGGCTCCCCATCTCTGCAACGCTGAGGTGGGTTGCCTGGGATGTAAAGGGACAGATTATAGAGACAAAAACGTTATGGGTAAGGGCAGAAGATGTCAAACGAGCTAACGAGCTGGAGAGGACCCTTCAGCTTTCTTTCCAGGAAGAGGTATTACGTCAGAGTTGCCGTAGACACTTCCAGACCAAACTACGCTGAAGCAGGACAGGTAACATACGTGACCAGAGAACAGCGCTCAAAACAACCTTTAATGTGCTTGAAACAAATCACTTTACAGAGAACATTAACACTTTTAAAAACATAACTTTGGATGCAATATACAAATTAAAACAGCTACTATAAAAAACACCACGGCATGGTCTCATCTTCCAGAACAGACTTTAGAAATCTCTGAGCGATCGATGAAGATTCTAAATATTCTTCAAGGGGGCCTAGATATGTTTGCACAGCTTTGAATGTGACACCAAGGACAGATGCTCAGAGCGGAGTTCCCTCTGTCAGTCTCCTGAGCACCCAGGAGCCCACCTGTGGCCTCACTCCTTAAGTGTGCCACGAAATAAACCTGTAAGTACTGGGCAGAAACTTTAGTTTTGAGTGTATAAATTAAAACATCCTATTTGAAAGAGAATAAAACACACAAAAATGTACCAATACATTCGAGAAGAAATTTCTAGAAAAATGTGCCCAGCAGGAGTTATGACCTTTACTGCTATTTTGTTACTTGGAAGATGTATTCTGCCATACATCTTGCAGGAAAACTTTTTTCAAGAGGGGTCATGTCTAATCTGTCCTATCGAGTTAAAAATGGCCAAATCTGAAACTCCCCATTGTTTTTAGAGGTGAGGAAACAGGGCCACGGAAGCTAGGGGACATCACTTAGGGCACTCAGGAGTCAGCATTTTTACTCCCCAGGTTAAAATATGTTCCCCTACACCACTCTATCCTTTACCACAGAACTTTGTCTTCCTAAACACCCCCGTACCATGAAATGTTCCTTTGTTCTAACGGAAAAGTGTTCTGCAGCATAAGCCACTTGGTGCCTCTGTTTTCCGTGAGGCTGGGTTACAGCCTGCCAGGATTTGAGTGTAAGGACCTTTTCCAGTGTTGAAGTGGTATGTTAAGTCAACCAACCACGGGCCAAGTTCTTTTTAATGTGTTCTCTGTTGAGATGATTTCCCAAGCCTGGCTACTCTGCCCTGGGAGGACCCCTGTTCTGCACACCCCTCGGGCTGGGACGGTCCCGGATGGGGGAAACACCTCCCCCCCCCCCCCCCGCCCCCTGGTGAGTTCACAGGCTGACCCGAGCGAGAGCCGGCTGTGAAGGTGATGGGACACTGAACAGGTCTGAAAAGCAGCACGAGAAAAGCAGTCCTTTTTGAACGGTTCAGGTCAAAAACATTCAAGTTCAGAGGAACATTGACAGGAGAGGGAAAAAGTGCGCAATGAGGGTCTTGTGCCCCTGAGTGGGTCAACCTTATTTGCAAGTGGGTGGAACCAGAGGTGAAGAAGCAAGATGAAGACTGAGAAGGGAACCGACATCGAACAAATTCAGGCTCAACCCAAAGTTCAAATGAACTGAAGTGCCTCAATTTGTACTCCTACAAAAACAACGTACACAGTCATGTGCCCACTGTCCTGCTTAATGGGCCTTGTTGCCTCTGGTATCCTTATGAGGAAGCAGTGAAGGGCCCACCATTTCAGTATTTTTCGGTGGTAATTTCAAGCTCTGTAGCTCCAGCTCTTAGACAGTAGCTCTAGAAAAAATACAAAAAGACAAGTGGGGCATCACACTCAGGCACTGGGGGGGGGGGCACACCTCAAGAGTCTTAAGCAGCTGACAGTCTAGGAACCCAAACCACCTTAAAGACACTCACTGTACGTACTAGTAGGTTTGTGATCTTTAAGTGAACAGATGGACTTTCCAGGTTCAAACTTAATGTTATCCATCCTTCAAGTAAGGTTCTTTCTGCTAAAATGGGAATAAATGAACCAGACCACTGATATTCTTTGTCACACTAACGGTGAGTGGAGACAGGTGTGTGACTGAGGAAGGTTCGGGGGAGTACTGGAAGCCTTAGCAGCTTTAATGAAACATCTGTAAACAAAAGGAAAGAAAACGCATACTACCTTCGCAAAGGGACTAAATTTCACTTAAATCGATTTAGTCAAAAAACGGACTCGGAAGGAAGCAAGTCAAAAACAAGAATGTCACCGTAAAACGTGATTATCCGGTATAAAGACAGGGCAGAGAAGGACTGGCACCAATAATTCCCAACTACTGATATTTAAGGAACCTTTGGATCTCTTTTTGCTTCGGGGAGGGTGACAGATTTGCTAGAACGAACCACCTGCTAAAGAGAATGGAGGCTTAGAATGCACCAAATGATAAGGAAAAGATAACACTCCCCAGGGCTTTAAAAAAAAAAAAAAAAGGCTACTGCCTATAATCACCAGTTAACTGTGTTTCCCCAGATGACATGGAACTCATTCTAATTCGACTTACAGGAAGGGGGTCTGACACTTGAAATTAATGTCATCTGTGATAAGCCCAGGGACCTGGGTGATCTAGCTCTGGAGAACGTGAAACTACAAGCAAGCCGCTTCTTGGCTGCCAGTGATCTGAAAGGGCTTCCTAGCTCAGCCTGGGTCCAGACAGCTCCTGGATCCCTGAGGGGCTCTAGTTCAACAACTGCTCCCAATGAAGAACAGGCCAAGTGCTAGCACCTGTGTGCCCAGGAACGCAATGAACCCCACCAGGGAGACACCGTCCTCACTGAGCATTCCCGCTGCTCTTCGGTGAGTCCACAGCGGAGAAGCAAAAGTGAGGACTGGCCAATGCAGAGAGAGAGAACAAGTGACAGATGACGATGATCGTATTCAAGTACCCAAACTAACTCAACTGAGAGGTACCAACCCATGCCACTACGGAAAGAGGCTCTGGGCATCAGAAATCAGCAGAGCACAAAGACCGCACCAGGGAATCAAAGGTGAGAGGAGGAGGAGCCACTGGGAGGGACAGACCTGACCTGGCGGTTGACTTGCAAAGGAAGGAAGGGGAGGAGGATCTGAAAGCTACAAGCATGAAAGATGGTGGGGAAACCAGTCTTTGCAGGAGGGCGGCTGCATCTGAGGTGGGGGGTCATAAACTTAAAAATACCAGTTGCACAGACACAACTTCCATAAACCCATCTGTATTTTCCTAGACTAAAATAATGAAAACCGAAAGAACTAAAATTTTAGTTTATAAAGGAGACTTGCAGACAATCTCGTGCAGGGAAACATTCTAGAAGAGCCTGGTTTTCACCACGCTGTGCTGCACGTGGTTAAAAGGAGTTCATAAAAAAACGGAAAGGGAATATTTGAGAGCATTACCTCTGAGTCTATTATGTCTTGTCCTTCTTTTGAACTTTTTCCACTTTTCCCTGCTTTTGGTGATTCCTGGGAAACATCAAGCAAATCAATTAGGCTTCTCAGTTTTTAGACGGCTAAACATCAGATAAACCAAAATGCAGTTTTAAAACGGATTTACACAGTTTACCCGGAACTTCGGATAATCTTAAGCAATACCATCAAGAAATTCTGCTTCCCGTTATATAGAGACCCAACACTGAGCTGCGACACCCCCGCCCCCAAATCCAGATCCTCCTTGTTTTCTGGATCTGTGTTTGGCGTTGAAAACTTCGAGAAGCAGATGAAACCACATTTACGGTGCTCCGGGCATTCTGATGGGTCCACATCACATCCCTTTCTGGCCTCCCACCGTAAACCCCGCGAGCCGGGATTTCTGGGGCGGCTTGGAGACGCTACGGAGCTCCACCTGGAGCAAAAACGTACCCCCCACCACCCCTAAAATGCAACGCAGCACACTCAGAGCCAACACCGCCGCCACCTGGGATAAGAATAGTATTTCAGAGCCCCAGAGCGTACCCAGGAGAGCAGACAATCCTTCTCCAGCGTGACGGGGGTCCCTCCAGGCGGTTGCAGCCCCCCACCCCTCCAGCCCCTGCCCAGGCGTCTGCGAGGCCGGGTCAACCACCTCCGCCACCGCACCTGCTCCCTCACGCCCACCGCGCGCACCACCCGGGGGCGGGCGCCCACGCCGCCCCCACCGCTGCCGCGCCCCCGCACGCCGGCCCGGGCAGTCTGGACCCCAGCCCGGCCTGGACCCCCGCGCCCCCTGCCCCCGCCCGGCGCTGCTGCGCCCTCGGGATCCTGGAGCCCGCCGCTCCCCGCTCCCGAGCAGTTCCCCGCCCGCCCTCCTCGCGGCCCCTTCCCTTCCCCGCCCCGGCCCGTCGGGCGGCCCGGACCCGGACTCACTTTCTCCTTCTTGTTTTTATTCGGCATGGCTGGTGCGGACAGCCACCGCCTGCCCCCCGCAGCAGCAGCAGGGCCCCGCCCCGGCCGTCGCGACCCCTGGCCGCCGCAGCCGCCGCCGCCGCTGCCCGGGGACTGAGTCGCTCGCTCGCTCGCACTTCCCCTTTTCCAGGCTCCCACAGGCTGCGGCAGCCGCGGCGGCGGCGGCGGCGGCGGCGTCTCTCCGCCCCTCCCCCGGCCCGCCCCTCCCCGCCCCTCCCCCAGGCCCCCGGCCCCCGGCCCGCCCCGCCGCCTCCGCCCCGCCCCCGCGCCGGCCCCGCCCCGCTGGCCTCCAGGCGCCCTGCCATTGGCCGAGGCGCCCTCACGTGCCCTAACGCTCTCCGCCGCGGCCCCGCCCCCGCGCGCGGTTCCGGTTCTCCCTTTTCCCCCAACCCCCGCCCCCAAGCAGGGCTCCGGCTCCCAGGGCCTCCTCAGCGGGGCTTCCTGAGCGGCGCCGGTGCGCCGGCGGCAGCGAGGGTTGGCCGGGAGAGACGCGCCCAGTCTCGGAAGGGGGCGTGGGGCTGCAGTGACGGCTGCTGGCCGGCACACGCGGCGCAGGTGCGGGACGGAGAGAGCAGGGGACAAATCAGGCGTGGAAAAGGCAGGTCTGAAACGGATGGCAACAACTGCGGCAGCAGGCGGGACGTGGCCCAGCGCGACCCGCAGCCTCCCGGCGTCGCCGCCTCGCCGCCGCCGCGCTCGCCAGGGTGAAAGGCGGCCGCGCGCTGGCGCACGGGACGGGCTGAGGAGGCCCGGGGCCTCGCGAGCGGCGGTTTCCCCGGGCCCTAGTGGGCCCCGCCCCCGGAGCGCCGGTCCGCTCTGCCCCGCCCCGAGGCCCCGCCCCGAGGCCCCGCCCCGCGGCTCCGCCTCTGCCGGAGGCCCCGCCCCGCGGGTCGGGCTCCGGCGGCGCCAATGGGATTTTATTACATTCTTCAATTTGGCTTGTAGACCACGTGAGGAAACCTCTGCATTGTGACCAGGGGGGTCACGTGATTCCTTCCGCTCGCTCGGAGCGCGGGGGAGAGGAGTTCTCAAGAAGAGGGGAAGTTTGATCCGCTCCTTCCGCAGTCTGTCGGACGGCAGAGGCCGCTCACGACGGGCGTGGAGACTGCAGCGGCGTTGGGGACGGGCCTCGCGTGTGACCGCGTTGGGCGCGGGCGGGGCCGGATCCGAAGCGGGCGCTCCGAAGTGGCCGCGTCTTCTCGGGCGCCCGGCTTCGCTGGTGGAAGTCGCCAGGCAGAGCGTTGTCGGCCGCTCTGCTCTGCGCCGGGAGCGCCGGGAGCGCGGGGAGCGCCGGCGGCCGCGGCGCTAGCGTGAGGGCGGCCGTGGGAGGTCCTGGAAGTGAGCCCTGCCCGCGCATGTGACGCCTCGACGGGTGTGCCCGCGGGCCGGCCGCTGTCGGTGCAGAGGACTCGGTTTTAAGGGGGTTAATGGTTTATCCAAAACACGTAGTTAAGAAACATGGGAGGGGGGTAGGGCAGTGCCCCCCCCCCATTAATTACGTTTCATTTGTGAAATAAAATACACGCTCTCAGGAGTCGTTCTGGAACTATGAGTGTATGACCGTGAAGCTCTAAAGGGACTGAGGGACTTTTCCCAGACAAGTCTGTGCCGCTGATAGACTCGTACACAGCCCCAGCGCAGACCATGCACTCCCCGGACGTTCGTCTGATGTCCTCTGTGTGCCAGGCGCAGGGAGGGGATTCCACGGTGGACAAGGCACTGCCCTGGTCTGCCAGCATTCCACATCCTTGGGGTGGAAACAAGAAAGCCAGCGATCAGAGGGATGTGACACTCAGCATCGGGGCTGGGGTGAGAGGGTCTGGTTCAGCAGCGCACAAGAGCCCTGCACGGGAGGTTTTGTTGTGGCTGGAGATGAGAGCCAATTCATACTCTGACTGGCCTTGCCAAGGAATTGGACTTCTTTGTGAATGTGATTTGGGGTCACCGAAGAATATTAAGCGGGGATGATATACTCACGTGTGCATGTGGGAGACGTCTGTGGCATGAGTGTTGGGGGTGGGTTAAGGGTAGGAAGTCAGGAGAGCAACTGGGATGGAGTTACGATCCAAGTGTGTGCCAGGGAGTCGTCTCTGTGGCAGCGACAGGGAAAGGGTCACACATACCCGGGAGCTAGACTTGCTCAGGTAGGAGAGAGCCACAGTAAAGGCTAAGGCCAATGTGGGTAGCTCACGGAATACAGTGACAGAAAAGGGACACAGCAAAGAGCAAATTTTCCAGGGAACACGATTTCAGTTTTGGGGCACCTTGAGTTTCAGCTGTGTCTGCAACAGGTTGGTAGTTGGCAAATGGAAATACAAATCTGACCTTCAGGATAGAGTGTCAATGTAGGTCAGATTAGGTGTTTTTCAGGTCAGTTTGAGTTTGATGGAAAGGATAGGGGTAAGATACCCAGGAAAGCTGCCTAGTGACCTTGAAGTCATGGTAACCAGCGGCACTGGGGTCAGCACCATTGCCTGACATGTGTGTTCTGCCCTGGCCATTGAGCTGGCTTTCATTTGCCCACGTTAGAGAGGGCCATCCCATAGCCAATATTAGCCAGGAGTGAGTTACGGAAGATTCACGGAGGGCCCTAGGTATGGTGCAGTGTCCTGGCTGATGGATGGAGCTCCTTCTTTCAAAAAAAGAGATTCAGAATAAGCTATTAGTGAGATATAGAGTTTTTTTTATGTGTTCACACTTGTGTGTGTGCATGTATCGGGGTGTGTGTGTGTGCGCGTGCCTGGGGTTACCTCTTCTGAGATACCCCATCTTCTGTGTTCATAAAGGCACTACCCATATCACAGAGAAACCTTTTTCCTTCAGACCCCCACCTTTCTGGGACACTTTTCTGAGATGGTGAAATGCTCTTTCTTCCTTCCTTCCTTTGTATTTTTTTTTTAAGATTTTGTATATTTATTTGACACAGAGAGAGAGAGAGAGAGTGGGAGAGGGAACACAAGCACGGGGAGTGGGAGAGGGAGAAGCAGGCTTCCCACCAAGCAGGGAGCCCAATGTGGGGCTCCATCCCAGGGATCATGACCTGAGCTGAAGGCAGACGCTTAACCATCTGAGCCACCCAGGCGCCCCAGTGAAATGCTTTTTCCATGTCTGGCTTCTCTGTATGGTGAATTGCTTAAATTATGCCTCTGAGCTCTCTCTGGAGGAGCAGAAAGGTCCCCAGAGGATCTAGGCTTCTGCCTGCACTGCAGCCACCAGCCACAGACCTGCAGAGACTTGCTGCTTCACCCTGGGGAGCAGAAGAGGTGCATAAAAGCAGGGCAGAGAGAGGAAGTCCCTTGGTCCAGAATTAACTGAGCTGCCCCTTCCTGCATCTGCCCTTAGAAGCTCTTTCCACTGGCTTATCTTCAGGGATGCGTATGTCACAGTGGCCTGCCCTCCTATTCTTCTTTGAGGCCCATCCCAACCTGGCCCCGTCTGCCTAGAAATCCCCTTCTCTTGGCTTGCTGGACACCATTCCCAGGAGCTTAGGCTTCTTCACGTTCTTCCTGCCCCGCCGGGCTGTTCGGGCGTTAAGGTGATCTTGCATACTTGGATTGTCGGCTGTTTCCCATCTTCAGCATTCTGCCTTCCCCAGAATGTTGGCAGCTTCCACAGCTTCTGTGGTTTGGCCCAACCTCTCAGACTGTTGTTCTCTGCCCTCCTGCTGCCTCTTTTTGGCAATTGACTCCCCACTGAGCTTGGGATGTGCTGGCATGCTGGCTGGTTCCATGTCACCAGCCCCAGCAGGCTCCCAGCCCCTGCTCCTTACTCGTGCTGGTGGGGGGCTGCCCATAGCCAGGACTGGACATAACATCTTCAAGGCCATTGCTGATACCTTCTCCACTGTAGAAGTTCAACTCACCTACCCTCTCCCTCTTTTCCTCGCCTCATTTCCACTGAAATGTCATTAAACAGCTCATTTCTTATTGAAGTTGAATCTGTTTATTCTTGGGCTACATGTTTGCCTGCAGATCTGGCATGGAGGTGTCGAGAGTAAATTTAAGCCAGCTTGCATTGAAATGAAATAGCCATGTAGGGTGCCGACCACAGTGCCTGGTACATGACAGGCCCTCAACAAGTTTATCTCCCACCAAGTGGACACTGATTTCATGAGAACTCGATGTGCTATCGAGTTCCAAAGACCCCAGGACACCACCGAAATCACCACTTCAAGGCCCAAGGGCACCCAGAGAACTCTGTTAGATGAAGAAAAACCTCTTGCTTGGCTCTTGAAGAACTTTGGCAAATGCCCTGAGCTAGTCGAGCCCACGAGCTGGGACTCAATGTCACCCCATTCTGGGGCACCATGCCTGGAGTCCCTCCCCTAAGAAACTAAAAGGTGAGCAATCTGGAAAGTTTTGAAAACTTAAAGTTTCACAGGTTGTTCTAAAACAGTCTATGCGGGGAGCCTGGGTGACTCAGTCGGTTAAGCGTCTGCCTTTGGCTCAGATTGTGATTTCAGGGTCCTGAGATCAAGCCCCACATCGGGCTCCTTGCTCAGTGGGGAACCTGCTTCTCCTTCTGCCTGCGACTCTCCCTGCTTGTGCTCTCTCTCTGACCAATAAATAAAATATTTAAAATTAAAAAAATCTATGGAAGCCCTAAAAAATGCTTTAAATAATATTTCAATACATTTCATATCCAAGCATTAAAAGGGAAACAATCCAGGGGTGCCTGGGTGGCTCAGTGGGTTAAGCCTCTGCCTTTGGCTCAGGTCATGATCCCAGGGTCCTGGGATCGAGCCCCGCATCAGGCTCTCTGCTCAGCGGGAAGCCTGCTTCCTCCTCTCTCTCTGCCTACTTGTGATCTGTCTGTCAAATAAATAAATTAAATCTTTAAAAAAAAAAAGGAAACAATCCAAAATATAATTTCATTTTCGTGTAAATGGGGTGAAATCCAGTCACTTTCTTTTTCCCTCCCCAACCCCCAAGTACAGTGGAAGCAAGACAGGATGGAAATAACCCAAGGTGGGGAGAGAATATCCTTAAAACGTTAGAGACGCAGAATCAGGGGGTTCTAGAGAGAGGAGGGCACGTGCAGAGGCCGACAGGCAGGAGGAAGCCTGCTAGAAGGACGTTGTTGCTAAGTACCACAACGTGCTCCAGTGTCCAGTTTGAGTTCTTGTCCCAAGT